CGCCCCAGGGTGATCTCAACCCCTCCTCTGGTTTCCACAACCATTGCTGAGCTTAGAGACCACTCCTACTTCCAGACCCTCATCCTCCCCACCGGGGTCCCACAGCCCCTCTGACTCAGTTTGGCTCACACAGAACTCAGCATCTGTCCCCCACCTCTGCCCTGAACCGCCCCCTTCTCCGGATTTCCCCGCCTGTCTCTGCTCAGGACACCACCACCCACTCCAACCCCCAAGACAGATACAGAGGAGACACCCTCACCTCCCCCACTCTCACCCACAGTCATGCCCCAGTTCTGTCAGTTCAAGCCCCTGCAGTGTCTCTGAAACTGTCCCCTTTTTCCCACCCCCACTGCCGTTCCTAGCGCTCAGCACTCTGCATCTCTCCGCACCAGGCCTGCCTGGCCCTCTGTTCACCCCGACCTTTCTCCAAACCTTTCGCCTCTGATTGTCATTCTCTCATTTTTCTGGCTCCCCATCCCTCCACACACCTCACATTTAAATTTTGCCACAGTCGGTCCCCAAATTTTCAGTCCAGTGCAATTCAACATTGCCAACTTTGTCTAACGGAATGGTCTGTAAAGTAGAGTGGCTTGCTCTAACGGCCACCCCTGGTGCTGGCTACTCCTGAAAACCTTCCTGGATCTCCCCCCTTCGATCCCCTGCCCCAAAACGGACTCCATCCCCTGAGGCTCCCCTAGCCCTGTTTGCATCACAGCACATCTGCTATGTGTCGTTGCTTTCTGTGTCTTGCTCTCTTCCTCCTGGCCCCTCCCTCTGACTGGAGCTCATAGGGCTTGGTATCTTATTGCTCCATCTCTGACCCCCAATTCCCTAAATGGAGATTAAATGATAGAAAACTGACTCCATCTCAGCCATTTTACTTCATGTCCTCAAATCATTTCCTTCCCCACCCTGGCCTCACTCAGCTTTCTGGCGTGCGAAATGGAGACAATCCCATGGCCAAGCATGCTTACCAGGGCTGGGAGAGGGGAGCGTGTGTTGCTGCCAGAGCCCAGCTGCCTGGAACAGGAGGGGCAGAGGCCGTGGGAGCTGGCAGAGGGTCCTGGAGAAGGGGGGCCAGGCAGCATAGACCCCTGCAAGGATGCCCAGTGGGGCTTCTCTCTTCCTCATCTCTCCCACATCTATGACTGGCCTCTTCCATTTGTTTTTGAGGCTGGCTGTTCTGTCCAGAGTTTTGCCAGGATAATAGGCTGTTAGAGTATCTCAGGTAGGGGCTGGGGCTGGAGGCAAGGGTCTGTGCCCACCAGCTCTGTGACTCTGGGCCAGAGTCTGCCTTTCTCTGGGTCTAGCTGTCCCACAATGATGATGTCTGTCTGGAGTCTCACAGAGCGCTCACTGGCTTGGAGAAGCCGGTTTATCCCATCTTGCTCCGCAAGGGGCCAGGAGCACAAGAAGAGTCACATGGGGAGCACAGGAGAGGGCGAGGGGGACTGAGAGGCTGGGAGCCACCATGGGAAGCTTATCAACGAGCCTCTCCCGGCTCTCCCCACAGCCAGGCCTTGTGCTGGAGCAGGTATTGGAATCGGGGCAAAGACGCAGGGCCTTCACACACTCCTGGGCCCTGCCCAGACCTAGGTGCTATATCCCCTCCTTTTCCCCATACCCAGAGAAAGCTGGACCAGGGGCCTGACCTGAGGGCCCAAGTCCATTGAGTCAAGAACAAGAGGTCTCCACTGAGAGTGACCTCATGTAGATTTCCCAGGAACTTCACGTTTGAGGGTATGCCTGGGACCAAGGGAACCCTCAGTGGGTCAGGTTGGGGTGAATACAAGTATACCATCCCACAGTCGTGGATATCCACCATAACAACAGGCCTCCCAGGAAGGGATGAGCACCCAGGAGTAGAGTGTGCACACAGAAGCCAAGGCCGATCTGTGGGTAAGGGAGGGGTCCATGGCACCTGTAGTCCTATGCACTTCGCATGGACACACTCTCTACAAGGGCTACCCTTCCTTCCCTACCAGGGGCCTTGAGGCAGTAGGAAGACTGAGACCCCCAAGGATACACCTAGTCACTACCTGTTCTGACACAACAGTCCTGACTCCCCAGTCCTCACTGCTGCACCAGATTTCCTTTCCCTCAAAGAAAAGCCCACTATGTGCATTCTCTGACGATAGTTATAGCAAAGCAAGATCAGGGATGACATGCCAATGGTGAAATTGCAGGCACCTGGGAAAGAAAAGAAGTTTTTGTATTGTTTCAGTTTGTTGTTTTCCTTTTTTTCCATAGGTAGTAACAGCTGTAAACCCTCAAACCTTCACAGAGTAGAGCCATGCCTGTCCTTCTCCCCGGGTCAGCCAGGGGAAAAGTCCATCTTGCCTCAGAATCTGAGGACCAAGAGAATCCTGGGAGCTTTCCTGGAAAGGTCTGAGCAGTGCAGCCAGGGAGCCAGGCCTTTGGGCAGATGGAGAGCAGCAGGAGGGACCAACATCCAGGCTGGGAAATAAGGTCAGGATGGAGGGGGCTCTGTCCTGGCCTGGGCTGTGAGAGCCCACCTCCAATCCCCTCCCTGACCAGTGCCTTCTGTGCTGTAGTCAGAGGCCTCGATATGGTCAGCAATGCAGTCAATGGCAATGAGCACAGCGAAAGGGATCACTGGGTCACCTGTGGCCAGCCCTTCTCCTCCCCCTTGGGCACAGGCTTCGGGGCCCTTCTTATACACCTGCTGTTTGCAGAGAGCACATACCCACACTTACACAGCTAGAGAAAGACACATAGGAACACACAGAAAACCTGTGGGCACACAGACCCAGACCCATGTGGACATAGTGACATATTCACGTTGGACCCACATACACAGCCATATGTACTATGCACAGCCCACACAGCAACACACACACACACACACATAAATGCACCAGTGCTGGGGACAAGCCCTGCCAGGTGTCCCTCGGCTGGCATAGCTTGTCCCATCCCATCTGTGCATCATGGATACAAAGTCAGAGACTCTGGGTCCCTAGACCCTGTTGGTACAGTCAGGCTGCTCGTTGGGCAGATTTCAGGAGCTCTAAAATAGAACCCATCCTCCACATCCTCAAGCAAATCACCACCTTCAGAGCCAAAGCTTCATTTCCTAGGGCACCACGGGAGCTCAGAGTCCTTCGTGACAGTGGGAGTCTGGGGCCTTAGGAGAGAGAATTAAAGGCACAAGAGCTGAGCGAGATGGAGTCGAGGGAAACAAAGAATGAAAAATCAGCACAGTCAACTCTGGCAACATCCAGGGACAGCCCTTCTCGTGACACACGGGCTGTGACTAGAGCATCCGAAGCTCAGGGGAAGCAAAGAAAGAACGGCAGGATATTGACCACCTGCTCCATTCGCTATTGATCCAGTCATTCATTAAAAAAAAAAATGCTTAATGAGCCTCCGCTATATTCTGAGCCCTGACTTAAGCACAGGGGATATTGATTTAATACATGGCAAGTCCCTGCTCTCCTGGAGCTTGCATATACCCAGCCCTGTGTTCTCTCGTCTTCCCGTCTATCCACCTATAAGTTTCCTTCCGTGCATTACCTTCTGCCAGGCTCTGTGCCGGGTTTTTCAGGACCAGCACAGCAGGATGTGGGCAGGTTATACCAGGTGGTTTTGGTAGGTGGGGAAAAGCAGTGAGTGCTTTAGAAGCTCAGGAAAGAGAGATGTCACTGTGTGCCAGGAGCTCCCTGGGGAAAAGTTTTCAGTGGCCAGGGAGGATGCTAACTATTGGAGACATGAAGGGGGAAGCACCCAGGCAGGGTATATCAGCCAGGAATCCTTGGATTGCAAGTAACAGAACATCACCATGTGAAGGAATATATTGGTTCATGCAACCGTCAAGTCCACGACTGGAATGAGCTTCCGCCTAGATTCTGGGACTTCCACACTGCCCTCAGGGTCTGCTCACTCACAGTGCTATCACCTCACCCTCTGAAGTTCGAGTTGATGAAGGAGCACCCCCACACTGCACATCCTCTTGGCTTCAGTCTCATGCCTCTGTTCTAGCATGTTCTAGTTGCCGCATTTCACAAGCTCTACCTGGGTCCTGTGCCCATCCTAAGTGAATCACCATGCCAGGAAAAAGTAAGGCCGTAACTGGCCAAAGTCCTGTGCTCTACCTGAACTCCACCCAAAGCACAGGGCAGAGTAAACAACGGGAGTGGTTTCCCAGAGCAAGCAGAATTCCATGACAGAACAAGGATGAACGGACAGCTGGCTGAAAAGTGACCCCTGTTACACAAGAGAGCGGGCAAGCACAAAAACACGGAGGTGGGAACGCGCAAGAAACAAGGGGTGCCTGGTGTCCAGGAAATGAAAAGTAATGAAGGCGTATAAGGGTAAGCTGTTGTATGGGATTCTCCTTGTGAAAGCTCCAGCCTCGAAGCTGGACAGACTTTGGACTTGATTGTGCAGGCCCCAGGGACCCCCGAAGGCTCCAGGGAGGGGGCATGGGAAGCAGAGGGAGGATGAGCCTCCTGGACTGTTGGGAACATGTGTTCACTCTGCCTCGCACCTGCCAACTCTCACGTTCTGGGGAAGTTCCCCACGTGGGGCACTTCCAGCCCCTCCTGCTCGCCAGCTTCTTGGAGCCACCATCAATGCTGTGACATTAAACAATATTGCAGCAATATTTCCCCCAGCTGAGCTCCAGGGAAGGGAGCCGACTGGTGGGTGGCAAGCCTTGGGCTACTCTGAGGAAGATGGAAGTGATGGCTGAGGGTGAGGTGATCGTTCTGGCTGGTGGGTATGGATTAGATGACAAGAGAGCATGACAACAAGAAGCACAGAGGTCAGTTGGGAAACTACTCTAGCAATTCATGCAAGAGAGTATGGTTTCCTGGAAGGCAGTAAAGAAAGTGGAGGAAGGAGGCAAGAGTAGGCAGATGCTGCTGATGGTGGAGCACTGAGAACCAACTACAGGGTGTGGCAACATGGTCCCTTGAGGCCTTTGGAGAGAGGACTTTGGGTGGATGCCCAACTGAGCTAGGTCCCATCCACTCTCACCGGACTGTGGTATGGCCACTCAGGCTTGATTTTCCCCCATATCACTCTTGTTGGGGGAACTCTCAGCCTGCCTCTCCCTGAGGTCATGCATGCTGGTCATTTCTTCTTGGGTAGTGAGCCTGCTACTCTCAGAGCTGCTGGACAGAGGGGCCGGTGCAGGGCCAGGTGCCTGGGGCCGCCTGAGCACAGTGACGAGGAAAGCCTTCAGGTACTGGCGGAAGTGGCGGCTGGAGAAAGCATAGAGAATGGGGGTGAAGCAGCAGTGAAGAAAGGCGATGCTCTCTGTCACCTGCAGTGCATAGTCCAGGTGCTTGATAACCTTGCATTCCCCAAAGACTTGCAGGTCCAGCAGTGAGTGCAGAAACAAGGTGAGGTTGTACGGGAACCACAGCACAAAGAAGGCTACCACCAGGGCTACAACGATCCTTAGAGCCCGGCCCTGACCTGGGGGCTTCAGCCTGACCAACACGCAGCCAATGCGGGAGTAGAAAAAGACCATGACAAGGAGTGGAAGGAGAAACCCCAAGAGGTTCTGCTGGAAACGGAGGAAGAGCTTCCAGATGGTTGCATGACCCCCAAAATCTGCATAGCAGTTCCACACACCCGTGGGGTTTTCATGTGTCTGCACAAAGACCATGTCAGGGATGGAGACAGCCAGGGCCACAGCCCATACCATGGCAGCCAGGAGCAGGCTTTTCTCCCGGGTTCTCAGCCTGTGGTGGGGCTGAGCGTGGACGATCTCCAGGTACTTGTCCAAGCTCATGCAGCTAATGAAGAAGATGCCACTGTAGAAGTTGATGGTATAGAGGGTGCTCATCATCTTGCACAAGAAACTCCCAAAGACCCAATGCCAGGCCACAGAAATGCCCCAGAAAGGCAGTGTCACCACAAATAGGAGGTTGGAGATGGCCAGGTTCAGCAGATAGACCTCAGTCATCCGCCTGCGAGGTATATACCAAAGCAAGACCACTAGAAGAAGGAGGTTCCCGCCCAAACCCAGCACAAAGATCAGGCTGTAGAAGATTGGCAGGAAGATCCTGCCAAAGGCCAGCACCTCATCCTTCCTGCAGAGCATGAAGGCCACCTGGTCCAGGTAGTACTCATAGTCATAGAAAGAGCTGCTGTTCTCAGAACTGGCGACCTCGGTGGTGGGTGGCAGAGGGGAGGTGGTGGAGGCCATGTTGGGAGGACACATCCAGTTCTGGAGCTCTGTGGACCAGAGTACAGTGGGAGAGAAATAAGGTGAAACCAGGCATTCTCTACCATTCTCCAAACCCACTTTTGCTACTGCTCTGGGAGGCCCCACAGACTCTTCACATCAACATCAGTACCTGTAGGCTAGCGAGGAAGAGCACAAGTGTGGGGAGCCTGAGCCTACCACTTATAGCTGCCACCCTAGGTGGGTGGCTTAACCTCAGGTGTTTTCATAGTACTCGCTTCTTTCATTATGGCTTCTCTTCTTTATTTTCTCCTTTAACGTTTGAAAGAACTGATAATGTCTTGCAGATTTTTCTTTATTATTTAGGGGTACCAATTCACCTATGTATTGGGTCTCCATAGTCTTCCTCATGTGTGCCCTACAATTATTCTTCTTTGTGTGCCTTGTGTTTTTTTTTTAACAAGCACTTCTCTTCAGTGGGACTTGTTTTATCCATAAATGTCTAGTGTGTCTACTCTGGCTTTCAATTTTCTTGACTTCTATCACCTACGGATTTCCCTTATTTTTGTTATTTGTAAAATATTTTATTTATAAATATTTAGTTTTATATCAATATTTTTATTTATAAATATTTAATATTTTAAAAATATTTTAAAAATAAAAATATTTTGTCCAATATATCTAGGTTTGTAGCAGAAAGGTGTGATCCATCATGCTGAGAGACTCAGAACCTACTAAACCTTTCCATCCCTCAGTTTTTCCATCTTTAAAATGATACTACTAATAATAGTACCTACTTCATGGGTTTCTTGTGAAGCTTAAATGTGACCATTCACGTAGAGCACTTCACACTCTACGAAAAGAGTGCCCAGAACATAGTAGGCACTCGTTGAATGTTAGCTTAAATTATTGCTTTGTTGAGACCTGAGTCCATCATCTTCCCCCACCAGCGTCTTCTCTCCTGCATCTCTCTAACTGAATGGCACCACCAACTTCTCAGTCACCCAGGACTGAAATGTGGGAGACATTCCAGATTCCTTCCTCACGCCCCCTCACCACCACCTGCGAATCTCTACCTCCTTACTGCCATTTGAATATTTCTAAGTCTCATAAAAATACATACATGATACTTGTTTAATAGAATTAAAACAAATGAAACAAAAATACTTTGAAGGAGTTCAAAGAGATGAAAGGGAAAGCAGGATGATAGGCACAGCCTTCAAGATGGTGGCTGCCTGGGCAGAAGCCAGAGGCATGGGATGAGGGCAGGTCACTGTCTGTGGTCAAGTTAGTTCCCTCTGGGGCAGTGGTTTCCCAGGTTTTAATTGTATTTTTAAAAACGATTTTTAAGGGCACCTTGGTGGCTCAGTCAGTTAAGTGTCTGCCTTCGGCTCAGGTCATGATCCCAGGGTCCTGGAACTGAGTCCCACATCGGGCTCCTTGCTCAGCAGGGAGCCTGCTTCTCCCTCTCCCTCTGCCCCTCCCCCTGCTCGTGCTCTCTCTCTCTCTCAAATAAATAAAATCTTAAAAAATAAAATTAAAATGATTTTTAAGAGAGAGCCTCACATGTACCAGTGATAAGAATCTGTCATGAACCAAGGATTATGCTTAATCTTGTTTTGTGTTCCAGGAGAGAGACTTCATGTTCAACACATTAGATTGTTCACCAATGAAGAAGAGGGTTTTGGAGGAGAGAGTAGGAGATAAAAAAGAATGCGTCACTCAAGGAAGCACTCATGCACGGCCTCCGGAGCGGGGCCTATAGGCTGGTGATCATGGTTCATAAACCAAGAAATACAAATCAAGCCCACTTTGCACCTCTGTGTTTTATTTTTTATTCTTTGATTCAAGAGAGATTGAACTTTTTAGTATGTTCAATGCCTGTTTGTATTTCTTCTGTGAATAGTTCGTTGTTTTAATGGATGGGATTCTCATTTTATAAGAGGTTTTATATGGTAAGGATTTAGCTTTTACATTGCAAACATTTGCCCCAATCCTTCCTGGTAGAAGTTTTGTCTCTTTTTTTTCCCAGGTAGAACTCTGAAAGAAATGTTGACTCAGGCCCTCAGCGGACCCATCCATGACACTGGAACCTCACAGCTGATGGAAATATACAATGCTGCTGAGACAGAACATCTCCCAGGGAAACCCCAGAGTCTTCCTACTCATTGAGACTCTGTACCACCCTTGGACTCCTATTAAATGGCATCTGCCAAATGTTGGGGAAAATCACACACATGCCCTAGCCCTACCTAGGAGCTCAGCCTGGGTGACTTTATCTAGGGTTGGGCTCTGGACTGGCCTCAGGAACTTTGCCTTGTGCCTTCCTTTCCTGGTCCTCCATTCCCCTCCTGTGCATCCGGGGTCTCCTGTCCCTGAGCCCCTCCCTTTCCTGGGCAACAATAAGGGGCATGGCTGGTGTTGGAGTCCATGAGCTACTGGGGTTGGGAGGAGGGAGTGCTCTTCTGCACTTGGACCTGATTAGGGATTATTAATCAGAAGTTGTCACTAATTAAACACCGGCTCTTCTGGTCCAGCATTACTGACATTGATTCTGACCTGGTTTCTCAAAGTCCCTGCTTTAACAAACAACTAAGTCTGATGATCATTTTGATCAAAGCCAGAGGTTAGGGTCCAGGCAGGCCCAGGTCACCTTTACAAGGTTCCTTCCACCTGGAACACTGTTCCTTTCCCTCTTGGGGCCTCTGGCCTCCTGACCTTTCACTCTGGGAATCTTTCCAGGTCGCTTTGAACTCTGAGACCATGAACCCCATGCTCCTGACCGCCCTTCAGGTCCCTGTCAACTCACACTTACCTGTCCCTCTGGACTCACTCGGGTTTTTCTTTTTTGTGTTCACTTTTCCTTATGCCTGAGTTCATTTGGTTTATCCAGCAATACCTTGAGAGGAATAAATGAGAGTATCAGCAATTTACATGCTAGTATGAATTAGCAGTATGAAGTTCTGCAGTGGAACCTCTGGGGGAATCTAGGGAACTATATGGAGAGGGAGGATTTAAAGAGGAGGGAAAATAAGGGTGAGGTAAGCAGAGCTCCCCCGACAATGAAGCCAAGGGCACAAAGGCAAACTACAGCTCATCTCTGGAGCAGTAACATCATCCTCTTTGTGACTTCCTGAAGCTGCTGGCCTGGGCCGGCTCCAGCTTTGACTCAGCAAGAATCTCTGGCTGGAGAGTTATGTCCCCGCCTGAGGATCTAGGGCTCGCCTCCCTAGGCCTCTCGGAGAAGTCACAGTCGAGGCAACAAGGGAGAGGATATCGCTATGTCCATTTGGCAGGAAGGCAGCCATGTTAGTCGAGCTCCTTCCATGAGCTGACCACACAGAGGTAATTTTCTCCTTTAATCCTCATCATCGTTCTGGGAAGCAATACTATTATAATTCCCATTTTCTAGATGAGGAAACTGAGGCTTGGAATGGGTAGAGTCCCACTGCCCCCAGCTTCAGATCAGCAAATGAGGGACCCAGTATTGGATGGCCCCAACAATATAAGGGAGCACTGGTGACCCTTTCCCTCTAGCTCCCCTTTTCACTATGGCCAAACCTGAAGTTGAAGAACGAGCCTTTGGTAGCGGGACTTCTGACCTTAGTAACCAGTGGAGAGAATATCCAAAGTCATTAATATGCCGAAGCAGCTCCCACAGGCTTGTGAGAGCCAGTTATGCAACATCTGGGAGGCATCCAACAAACGCTCATGGAATTAACCAGTTCTGCATTTGGGGATGTTAAGTTGGTAGCTTGAAACTGGTCATGGTGGGGATATTTACACCATGGCAAATGCTACAAATTGGAGCTTCCTCTCCTTCTTGCATGTGCTCCCCCCCGCACCACCATCCCTGAGAGCTGGTTATTAAATCTTTACTGGCATACCCCTGATCAAAACCCCATGAAGCCTGACCTACCCCTGCCCATTTCCTTCTGTCCTTGTCTGTCTCCATCACCTTTCCTCCTCGACCTGCCACATCGGTCCCGTAGCTGCCCTCCTCCCCAGCCAAGAGCCCTTGGGGACAGGGTCACGTGTAGGTCTCCTGTGGCCCGGCCATACTGAGCGTGCTGCCCACAGCGCAGCTGTGACTAATGAACAAATAAACAAGCTCAAACGTTACCCCAAAAAGCCACACCAGCTTTCAAAATGTAAAACCAAGAATAACATCTGAGATCACTTCTAGTGAACAAAAATTATGCTGGCCTCCTTACAATTTGGAAATGATATCCTTTAAAATGCAACCCAAATTCTCCCTTCCCAGAAGGCTGCCCAAGCCGCTAGCCTGGTGTAACTCCTGCCCCAACCCCCAGCACTCGCAGGTCACTCCTGAGTCATGGTGCCTGGCTCCTTGAGCAGAGTCACCTTTTGAGAGTGGCTTGCCTCCTCTGCAAGGCAGGGGTTGGAACTCACTAGCACAGGGCTGACATCTGAGAAGAATTCAACAAGTGGCCATGGACTTAATCAGTACTGTCACCTCTCTTCATCCCTTCTTCTCGCACTTCATTTTCCCTTGCCTGGTTTTCTGCCTGCCCCCACTGGTGCCCTGGACACAGCAGAGCCAAGACCCTCCTTGTGTGGGGCGTTTCCCCAGCCTGGGCCAGCGTGCAACAGTGGCCTTGGGAGCCCCGAGCCATGGAGCACGTCCAGCCCACTGCTCTCCTGGAGCCATGTTCAAGTGCTGTCTCCAGTTGGCGCAGGCTCCCTGGACCAATGTCACAGGATGTGCCCTCTGGCCACCCCCAGCTTCCTCCCTCAGGAGGCTCCCCTCCCCAGGAGGCTCTGGGAGGACTGGGGTGGAGATGGAGTCCCAAGGCCTGGACTCCACCCTGGCTCAGCTTGGGATGGGCCGCCTCTGCCTATAAATCTGGTTTTATCATTCTGCATTTCTGGCCTTGCTGTGGCTGGAAAAATTGAAGAAAGGAGTTCTGAAGTGATGCCCTCTCTGACCGCGGTGTCTGGCTGCGGAAAGTGCTCCGGCCTTGGGACATAGGTAGAAGAATACTTTCCTTTGGGTGAACTGGTAACAGCTGGGGATCAC